CTACCTCTTACTTACAAGTTGTAAGTTACAACACATTCTCTTGTCTGCGTCTGCGGCGCGGTCTGGCAGCCAGACTCTGGCTTGCCCCACTACTCTTACGTCACTCCACCACTCCCACGTCTCATAATGCATTTGTCTTTATTTAATAAACGGCCTAAGAGCACATTACCATCCCTGTATACTTAGCGGATCGAACAAAGCCAGTGGATGCCCGATCCCTGTGCGTGTTAACGCTTTTATTTTCGAACTGGTTTCGAGATCCCATTTAAATATATACATCAAAATTTATGGAAAAGAATAGGCTTTTTTTGTACATATTTTTAAAAAATCAAAATAGTCCCATTTTGAGAAAAAAGTAAAAGTATTTTTTATATCAATTTTTCTTAGCCAAAAAATTTTGTTTCGGTTTTGAAACCTCCTCTATCTTAAAGCACGAAAAAAAAAGATATAGGATATATTATTTATAGATTTAAAAAAAGACCTAACCTAACTCGCCATATTTGACAAGTGCAGTACCTCTCATTCTAAGGCTGTACGCTTTTTATTTGCATACGATTGTACTTTGGACTTAAAATATTTATTTTACAAATGTCTGCCTCCAACGACACCAATGAAGAAATAATTGAATTGGAAAGAAGTGAGGTTAATTTCTTTTAACATATTATGTTATCTTAATAGTAAGTATACTTACAGCCCTGCTAAGTTAGAATTCTGTAGTCTGTATGTTCCACACCCTAAAGTCCACGTTGATGCCAGTGATAAGCTAATTTTGTCTTATTTTAAAAAAAAATACAATATATATATTTTGGTTTTTTTTATTCGGAATTTGACACATTTCTTGGTAGGTACTGTATGTAAATATATTTTTATTATTTAAAATTGGTACTCCTGTCCAAGGCCTTTATCCTAGACCAAACCAATAGATAAATTTCTTATGTCGGATGTTGGGACAGTATTATAATATTTAGCCAAGCCAAGAGAGGGCGCTAGGGATTTTATAATTTTTTGACGTTTTGACCTTTTTTGACGTTTAAGTATATCCGTAGTTATCGCATTTGGTGTATTTGTGCGTTTTTATTGTGTATTTTGTATTATAATAATAATTTATAAACGAAACTTTGACCGAATCATAATCTTTCAGATGGTAGGTATGTATTGTTTAATAAAATTTATGGATTTAACAGTATTCTTCAATTTCAAAATATTAATCAATGAGACAGTTACTTTTGGTAGACTATCATAAATAACAAAAACAATGTTTCTTACCATATCGATGCGTTTCTGCCAAAGTATCGCAAGCAACATAACTTAAATTTAGGGAATTAAAAAATTTTTTTGTCTTAAAGTCTGTTTTAAATTAAATATAGTCTAAAGGTTTTATAACAAGTAAATAGCTTATAATTGTAGCTATGTACTTGTTATAAAACATATAAGTTATAATATAACTTATATGTTTTATAACAAGTAAAAATAAAAAATGTTTTCAATTCCCGAAATTTGAGTTATGTTGCTTACGATACTTTGGCAAAAATTCATCGATATATGAATGGTACTTTTGGGAATAAGTATGATAATGATTTAACGAGTTTTACAAATTTAAAAAATCACAGATTTTACAAATGAATATTAAATAGGTACACCACGGTGCTGTTCTGAGGGATGATTTTTGGACTTTCTGTGAAACCTAATTTTTTTTATATTCTTGTTAATTAGGTCATAACTAAAATTTTAAGAACAAAAAAAAAATGACGGTTTGAATTGTTTTAATTGGCTGTTTATTAAAAATATTATGCACTCTTTCAATTATCCAATTAAAACTAGCGATTTAATTTAAATATTTAATATTTGCATAACTAAAAAAAAAGTTTTTACAATTTTTTTTATATATTTTACTGTTTTGTTGCAATAAACGTTCAAACTTTTAATCTAACCTTTGACGTATACATTTATGTTCCCTTAATTAATGTATCCTTAAAGGTTGCCATGAAACTTAGATCTATTAAAAATTTATTTGACGTTTGAATTGTCATTTTCAGTATACGTATTCTATAATTTTTGTTTAGTTGTGTTTTTTATAAACAAAAATAAAAAAATGTAGTAAACGTTACGAAGAATTTCATGAAATTTAACTAAGGACCGGTTTATTCATCTTTAGTAAAGTTTATCGGGCCGATAACTTTCATGTCTTGGCAATATCTAGTATCCAAAGAAATTATTCGTCAAATAAATCAAAAATTAATAAATCGGCCCTAAATAAAATGTGGCACCCTTAGAATTCAGGTTTAATAAATGTATACTATACATTTAACCTTAAATTAAAACTTTAAACGTGAATTACAACAAAACAGTAAAAGATATAAAAAATGTATAGACCTTTTTTTAGGAAATTAACTAATCTTTAATCTGATTTAAAAAGTTATGATAATATTTAAATAAAATCGCAAGTTTTAATTGGAGAATTGAAAGTGTGCATACATATTTTTAATAAACATCCAATTAAAACAAAATTAACCGTCAATTTTTTTTTATTAGGTTTTACAGAAAGTCCAAAAATCACCTCTCAGAAAAGCACCATGACACTTGTTTTACATTTACATACATTTGTTTTCTTATTGCTTTTCTATAAATCTGCGGATTTGTTTAGTTTATAAAAGCTGCTTGAGAATTACTAAACAGCATAATCACAGAAGTATCTTAAATAAATGGTAGAAAACAAAGTTATTGTTTTCGTTTCTCATTACATTTAAAATCTAGCCGCAAGTTACATTTTAAATATAGCGCCATTGAAGTAAGCAATCAAATACGTTGATTTTCCACCAATTAAAAACTATAATGGCAACAGTTGCCTGTAAACACGTAATTCAATTTTTAACCAAGTTCGGAGAGGGCGCTTCATTTGGCTCCAAACTATATACTCTTTAAGATAGTCATCTATTGGTTTGGTTTAGGGCTTTTATTTTATATACTTTGACATTTAATTGCCAAAATTTTAATATACAATGCCAAAAATTACAGAAAATTCCTATCGAAAAGAAATTTAAAAAACAGAATATGTTTACGAAATAATTTCCGATGCCATAAAGGAGGAAAAGATTAACCTAGGCTGAAGTAAAATAATCCTTATTAGCAAAATACAAGTATTAACGTTTCGTGAATTCATCAAAATTTAAGTATTCACAAAAATCTTTAATTTTTTTTATTATTTAATATAAATTTCTGCATTTCTTTTTGAAAGAACAAACCGAATAATATTATCTAAAATACATGCGTATTTTTACGCTGAAAATTCCGTAAAGTCACCTCTGTAAATAGGAAAGATAATGACCATTTTTGCTTTCACTGTCAAAATGACAAGAATAATTTTAGCCGAAAGTATGGGTAGTTGCCCATATAGAAAGTTTAGATTTTGATCGTTCGAAATTCCGTGTCCCCCATAGTAGGTACTAGTATTTAACGTCAATGCGCTTTACGAAGCCATCCACACAAAGACAAGAATACGTACATATTTTAAATCTTTGGATGTTTTTACAAAATACCTCGCCAGAAGGTCAAAGCTTGCGTTATTTCCAAAAATACAGGTTTTATTTATATACTGGGACACCCATTTTGTCCTTTCCAGGTCAATGAGACATATATTTCACTACTCTTTCATTGAGCAATCGAACACAACGAGCAGCAAAACGGAAGACTGGATGACTGTTTAATAATTAAATTCGATATAAACCGATGCCAATTAAAGCAAAAGTTTCCCTAATTTAAAATAATTTATAAATTTTCGAATATAGAAAAAAACATTGTTGACGATAAAATAATAGTTAAATGTGTAAAAAAGCCTAAAAATTAATTTATTATCAACTTGACATCAAAAATTTTATGGTAGCGTAATATACTTTAAATTTATGTTGAAAATAAACCAATCACTAATATTTTTGCTCCTAATAAAAACGTTTACTATGCATCACGGATTATATCGTCATGGCGTACTTTCATAAATGCGCAAAACGGTTTCTACCGAGTACGCCTTGCTTTAGTATTCTGTTAGCACTTCAGCACTTTACAACAAACAGACACGTGGTGCGCGTGATGGTTTTAACCGTCAAATGACAGCCATAAAAATTCCCCCCTCCCTTTCTTCTTGTCATATTCTTAGTCGGAACCCAGCTAATATTTAAATCGCATATCTTTGTTCTCAGCGCTTTCGTTCATTGAATTTGTTACCCTTGCTATTGTGTGTTTCTGTGATTAAGTTTTGGAAAAAAACCTTTTGACCATGAAAGAGGAAGATATGTACTTTAATTTAAAACATAATTTTATTAATTTGCTGCTTACATTATATGTTTACGAACGATTTTTATTAAGTTTATTTGGGTATTCATGTTAACTAAAATATATAACATAATGACTTTTTTGTTTACTTGTCGGGCCTTGTCGGGTTAATTTTTTTTTATAAATATGAAGTTTAGGCTATTGACAATCAAATGCTGAAGTAAAACTGTCCGCCTACTTCCGCCATTTTTTTTAAATTTAACTTCAAAGTTATTGATCAAAAAAATTTAAATATTTCAACTTAATATTTTTTTCTTATTTGTCGTTATATTCTTTAGAAACTATTAAGATATTTAATAAAAAAACATTGCCTAAAGGAATTTGAAGAAAAAAACTGGATGAAAAGTTTTCGTTAATGGAAGAAGAGCTTATAGGTTTTTAAATGTTCTGCTAGGCCAAAAATCAATATCAAAATTTTTCTTAAATATTCTTAAAGTATGTATATTTTTTCGAGAATATTTTCTTAAAATTTTATCAAGATCGAAGCAGTAGAACTATAAGGTAAGGCAATTTATAGCGCTCTCCTTCGTTATCAAGCCTCGTTACTTTTTTACCTTAACAACAATATGGTATTTTTGCTTACAAATTAATTTATTATATAAGGTAAAAAAGTAAATAGGTTAAATTCTATGAAAATTAGGTATGTAATTTCGGGTTATTATAAGTTTTCGTTAATGAAAAGCGAAAATGAAAAGCTTGTAAAAATTACTAAATGCCCAGATAGTGAGAAAAGTGTTATAAGTCGCGCTTTAAGGCTTTTCAAGAGCGAATTTAAAAAGAAATGGACAGCTGCTAGTTACAAAGAGGAACGTTTCTTAAAACACAATGAACAATGGATCACAGTATCAATTCAACTGCCTTACTGGTCTGTACAACCTACAGAGAAACCAGGCCGACCAACTAAAACATTCGAAGAGTTAAGTGACCGCAGCAAGCGTCGAAAAACAAAAGAACTACGAGAACAGATACCTGTAGAGGAGTTGACATATGCAGCAGGAGTGAGTCAGCGCACTTCAGGAAATACCGATGCGTCAAAAATAATAAAAGAGATTGCCAGCATATCAACTAGAGCTACGGAAATTCGTAAAAGTATTACTTCCGCTCAAAAACAAGCACTTGTTAAAAAATATACACCTCAAGAAGCACTCTCAATATTTGTAGAAGGCAACTTTACCAGAAGACAATGGGAAGTAATACATATTTCTAATAAGAGCCTCTACCCCTGTTACTCACTTATGAAAAAAGCTAAAAGCGAATGTTACCCTGATAAGGAATCGATGCAAGTGACTGAAACCTGCTATGAAATCCAACTTCAAGCGTTACTTGATCACACTGCATTGCGCCTGTATAAATATGTTGCAGAGGTTGTAGAAACGTTTTCAGACGAGGGTCGCAACAGACAGAATATAAACAAAGATTTACAAACAGCACTGACAGCGATGCAAATATTTTCCAAAGCACACTCGTTCCCTTAAGATTGGTTGTTAGTGTTGATGGAGAAACGAAGAAAATTATATGGCAAAATCCAGTTCCTTCCTCAGCTAGATTCTGCAGACCAATACGCATTCGTTTTATTAATGAATCAAAAGATGTTATTCAAGATGAAATAGCTTACGTTAGAGAAACAGAGGTGTCCACTTCTAATGGACCAGGCAAAATAAAGCATAGAATTATGCTAACAATGGTTGACGGGAAAGTCTGCAATGCCGCGACTGATACTGCTTCCACTATGAGATGCTATATTTGCGGACACTTTTCAAAGGATTTTAATAAATTAATTAAATCAAAAGAAGTCAATGTGGAAGCACTGAAGTTTGGACTCTCGATTCTTCATGCTAGAATCCGCTTCTTCGAGTCACTACTACATTTAGCCTATAAATTACCATTAAAAAAGTGGCAAGCGCGATCTGACGAAGAAAAAAAAGTTGTTAAAGAAAAAAAAGAGGAAATTCAAAGAGCCTTTAAAAAAGAACTGGGGCTCCTGGTAGATGTTCCTAAAGCGGGAGTTGGAAACACTAACGATGGCAATACTTCAAGAAAATTCTTTGACGAGCCGGAATGCTCTTCTCGAATCACTGGCATCAATTTAGATTTAATAAGAAGATTTAAGGTAATCCTAGAAGTAATTTCAAGTGGCTACAGCATTGATGCTGAAAAATACGATGCCTACGCACTCGAAACTGCAAAGATGTACAAAGATCTATATGGTTGGCATCCTATGTCACCAACTGTACACAAAGTTTTAATGCATGGCGCCCTAATCATATCTAATGCAATTTTACCTATTGGCAATTTATCAGAGGAGGCAGCTGAAGTCCGCAATAAACACTTCCGACAATACAGGTTAAATTTTGCTCGAAAATTTTCACAGGTCAAATGTAACAGAGATATATTAAATAGACTGTTACTAAGTTCAGACCCGTATTTAAGCAGTTGCAGACCAAGGCAGCATAAGAAGAAAGAGGCAGTCAATCTGATGATCGCAGGCAAACCCAATTTACCTCAAACTGAAAACGAAAGCTACGAAAATACAGAGGAAGAAAAAACTGACGAAGAGGAAGATGAAGCTGACGAAGAGGAAGATGAAGCTGACGAAGATGAAGCTGTCGAAGATGAAGCTGACGGAGAGGAAGATGAACAGTTTGTCTGATTAAGGATAAGTTATCTTGACATGTTTATATATATTTTTTAAATAAACTCCGAATTACGATCAAATTTTATTTTACTACATTACAAAAAAACGCTATAAATATTTTTTTTAGGCCTTATTATAAAAATTACGATCAAATATTGTATTTCAAATGATAACATTGCAAAAAAATGCAAGAAATAATTTTGACCGGTTTTTTTAACAAATACTCCTATGTGCGTCATGGCGCTTTGAGCCCTTTTTATTAACCATAATTACAGCTATAATAGCAGTTAAATGTTTATATACGGAATTTCGCAATGTTGCCAAATGTCATCTTGCTTCAGAAATCAAACAGGTCCCTACACAGAGAAAAATAAACTATTTCAAGTTTAAATTAAATGAACAGTTTTTGGTACATTCAATACGACCAATGCGCATAATTGTTTATTTAAAAGTCGAAGGATACCTACAGTCTTTAAAGTAAACTCGCACAGTTTTTGAATATAATTTTACTACTACAAAAATGTACAAGATTTCATAAAACGGTAAATTATGAAAAATCTTTAATATAAGCACTCCTATTGTTTGTCCAAGATTTCTTTTATTGTCTCAAAAACTAAATTTTAAAAAATAAGACAACATTTCCGTAAGTGTTAAATAACAACCTCATTTGCTCAGAGTATACAAACCATAAACAACTCAACTAAACTGAAAAAGGCGTAAGAGTAAATAAACCAAATCAAGCAAGACGACAAAAAATTTAGATCATAAATAAGTGTTGTGTGTAATAGGTAATATTGTATATGCATTTAAGATTATAGCCAAATGTACGAATGTTTTAGAGAATAAGCTAGATGAGAGCAATGCGGGACTGTAATCGCATATATGATTTTACTTTGATTAAAAATATAATATTTAAACCATACAAGACCAATTGCGTATAAAAAAAGCACCTACCTTCGTTTTAGTATTCTACGAAGTAAGGGGCCCTTTCGATTCCAGGTTCTTCAGGTTTGCACTTCCACATACACATGTTTAGCTTTTCATATTTCTAGTTTTAGAACGATTTTCACACAACAAAATTGCTAATTTCCAAAGAGAGTTATTGTAACCGCGTGCTACTGCGTTCGCGGACGGTGTCGAAGAGAGTGAGACAGAAGATTTTCCGTCTTCTTTGGTGCACTTTTTTTATTGGACTTGTATGTTATTTGAACTAATACTTTAATAATAAAATTAAAATTATAAATTAAAGTTGTTTGTACATTTTTCCGCCCACAAAAACGAATGTTTTTAAATTGTTTAAATAAAATTTAATTAAAAAAATTAAAAAAAAACCATTCCCAAATATCCCAAAGAAAGAGAAAGAAAAAATAAATTATTATTATTGGTAACTTTAATAACGCAACTCATACAAAAAAAAAAGAATTGATTAAACAGTTAAATCACCGGCAAGGGACACCACTTTACTACCGGACGTTTAAAAAGTCCGTTCTGTGTCTTGACTGTAACCACTCTTACATGTTTGTCCTGACCAGGGTGTTAAGTAACTATTCTGCCCAGTGACCAGTGCAATGGTGGTCTTGTTTCGTCTTTTATTAAGACTAATGTATTTAATTTTATATCTGCAGTCGGTTGCGTCCATTTAGAGCGCTGCTGCAAAGTGTTTAGATATTCCGAGTTCCAACGTTTCCAAAAATCTGAATAAAGGCGTTGTACTAACTGCCATCTGGATAAAGTGTTTAATTTTAGGTGGGACAGATCTGGATCTGGACATGAATTCAAAGGTTCCATGGTGAGGAAATGACCTGGAGTTAATGGCGATAAATTATTGGGGTCGGAACTTTGTTCACAGAGGGGTCGACAGTTTAGCAAAGCTTCTATTTGGGATAACAAAGTAGATAGTTCCTCAAAGGTTAGGATTTGATCTCCAATCACCCTGTATAAATGAGTTTTCACAGATTTTACACCTGCTTCACTAAGACCGTTAAAATGCGGAGCGGCAGGAGGATTGAAATGCCAAATGATATGAAGACTTTCTGAAGCCAATTTTGATAACTCTTGGAGCTGTCGACTGGCTCCAACAAAATTAGAGCCGACATCACTCCAGATTTGGGTACAAACCCCACGTCGGGCTACAAAGCGCCTCAAGGCTGCGACGAAAGCGTCTGTTGTTAGATCAGACACCAGTTCAATATGTAATGCCTTCGTGGCACAACATACAAAAATACAAACATAAGCTTTGAAGACTTTGGCTCTTCGGTATCTTCCATTCGTGATTTTTAGGGGTCCTGCATAATCCAAAGTTACATGAGAAAAACATTTTAATCGAGAAGTACGAAAGGAGGGTAGGTCACCCATGTATGGGGTGTAAGTTTTTGGTTTTAAACGAAAACAACGAATGCATTTTGACAAAACTTTCTGAATAGCTCTTCGAGAAGATAAGACCCAAAACTGCTGCCGTAATAAATACTGAACAGTATTTAACCCCGGATGTAAGTTTTGTTCATGAATTTGTTCAATCAACAAATCTGTAAGTCTATGGTTTCGGGGTAAAAGAAGAGGATGTTTTGCTTCAAAGGAAAGTTCTGAATGTCTGAGGCGTCCACCCACTCTGACGAAACCCTCATCATCCAGAAATGCAGCGAGTTTGCGCAAAGGTTTTGGTAAGAGTTCGTTATTTTTAATTTGTAAAATTAGCTCCGAAAAATTCTGTTCTTGAACTCTTTTAACCAAGACTAACAAAGATTTATGCTGCTCCAAAGAAGAAAAGGAAGTAAAGAGTTTTTTGTCTTTATTTTTAATGTTATGAATAAATCTAAGACAATAACTAAGGACTCTTTGAATTTTTAATAGAGAAGAAATATTTTCGACTAAATTGTCAAGAAAATTCTCTTCGATAATCACCGAAAGTGACAAAGTTTTTTCCTCTTGGGATAACTCCGGAAGATTTGCTCCTTGGGAAGAAAAATTTTCAAATTTCCACTCTGTTTGGGGCAATTTTATCCATGGGGGTCCATGGAACCACATTGGATGGGTTAAAAGATTTGCGGGGGTCAATCCTCGACTAGCGCAGTCTGCTGGGTTTTCTAATGATGGCACATAAAACCATGGTACGTTTGGTAGCGTTTCTTGCACATTCGCAACACGATTAGCAATAAAGTTCTTCCATTTATGAGGAGAGCTCGAGAGCCAAGCAAGTACCACTTGCGAATCGGAAAACGCAAATATTTTATCTATGGTAACTAAAGAAGAATAGGTACGAAGAACAAACTGAAGTGAGTCTGCTAGAAGTGTAGCTCCAAGAAGTTCTAGCCGAGGCTTTCGATTTTCCCATCACTAAAGAACATTTAACGACGTCATTAGGTAGCTCTAGACGTAGGTATACTGCGCATGCGTAGCCAATCTCGGAGGCGTCACAGAAACCGAAAATTTGACATCTTTGAATTTTATTATCAAAAATGTAACGAGGAAGTGAAATTTTAGAAAGATTGGGAAGCTCATTTTTGAACTGACACCAAAGATCAATAATAGCTTGAGAGGGGGAGTCGTCCCAGTCAATTCCAGCTATCCAAAGCCTCTGCATAATATGTTTTGCAAGAAAAGATACAGGAGACAAAAAACCTAAAGGGTCATAAATTCGAGCAATTTCCGAGAGAATGTTACGTTTTGTGCAGGGTTTTTCTGAGGGGCTGTATGAGTATGAGAAGATATCTAAAGTTGGGTTCCATTAAAGCCCTAAAACTTTAATAGAAGTAGGTTCTTCTTTATCGAAAGATATAGGCATTTGACAATCTGAAGGAGACAAATTCGAAAGAAGTTTGGAGTTATTACTTGCCCATTTTCTAAGTTCAAACCCAGCGGTCTTTAACAAAGCAATAAGATCCTTGTAAAGCTAAAGCTTCTTCTAACGTTGAACTTCCTGCACAAATATCATCCATAAAAATATTATCCAGAAGAACTTGAGATGCTTTGGGATAATTTTTCTGTTCAAGGGCTGCTAATTCCCTTAGGGTTCTAATGACCAAATAGGGACTGGAACTTACACCAAATGTAACACAATTTAGCTGATATTCCTTTAGCGGTTCATTAGAGTTAAAACGCCAAAGTAATCTTTGAAATCTTCGATGACTGGGGTTGACAAGAATTTGTAAATACATTTGCTTTATATCTGCTAAAAAGACAATTGGACAAAATCTAAATTTTAGCAAAATTTCTGCTATGTCGCTCTGTAATTTTGGACCAGTTAAAAGTGAATCATTTAGACTTAATCCTCTTGATCCTTTAGCAGACGCATTAAAAACTACACGGAGTTTTGTAGTAGCTTTGTTAGGGGTTACGACACCAAGATAAGGAAGATAATTTAGAAGTGTTGGCTTTGGTTCGTCATTTGAAATCAGAGACATGTGACCATTTTTTATATATTCTTTCATAAAATCTGAGTAAAGAGCATATAAATCAGGTTTTCTAAGAAGTTTTGATTCCAGAGACATAAAACAGCGATACGCTAATGCATATGTATCACCTAAATCGGGTTCTGCATGACGAAAAGGTAGGTCCACAACAAAGCGACCGGAATTATCACGAATGGTAGTATTTTTGTAATGTTTTCGCATTTTTGATCGTCAGTCAATAGACTTTAGGTGCTTTAGCTTCTAACTCCCAGAATCTTCTAATGCTTAACTCGAGTGGGGGATCTAAAGAAGTAAAATATGATTCTACTGAAGGAGGTTGAAAACAAATGTCCTGTACTTTTCCTAACAGATCCCAACCAAAGACAGTCTCAAAGGCATTAGGTTGCCCTTGAGGACTTAACAACCGACCTGATTTTAAAATTTGTGAGTATATATCTGCCCCTAATAGCATGTCGACTGGGGCTGGAATGTGAAATTGTTTATCTCCAAGATTTAAATTTGCAATGTGAGACCAATTTTTAGGATCAATTTTGACGAAAGGCATATCTGAACAAAGTTTTGGTATAACCAAAACATCAAATGAAAAACTGGGTTCATACTGACCTA